CAGGGTTTGGGTTCAGGGTTCAGGGGCTTAGGATTTAGGGTTTAGGGCATGGGTTTGGGAGTTGACATGGAGGGCGAGGACTGCTCAGTAAATCCTGACCGCTTCTGTCATTTCCTCAACGGCACTTTCCTGTTGGTCGTGGGACTTTGGGATTAATCCCCTCCCCCTACCATCAAACCTCCCACCCCTAAAGGGACATATAGGATTTGGGGTTCAGGGTTTAGGGCTAAATATGATAGCATCCCACAATGGAGGTATCTAAGATTATTTAGGGGGCATAGGGAGTAATATTAGGGGGAGGGGATTATAGTCCCCCTTAATTAGATAGAATATGGCTTTGGGAATAGTAGAATAAGATCCCCATATTCTATCTACTTAAGGTGGACTATAGGTTTAGGGTGAGCCTTCATGACCTTGTTGAGGTCTATCTGTCTTGTTTGGGCTTCCGGACGGGTAGGCAGGGATGAAGCTTCGAGTTTCTTAGTTGCTTTTTGATGGTTTGGGGGTTCAGGATTCGGTTTAGGGCTTAAGGTGTTTAATGGTTTGGGGGTTCAGGACTCGGTTTAGGGCTTACGGTTTTTAATGCTTTGGGGGTTCAGGATTCGGTTTAGGGTTTAAGTTTTTTCTGGGTTGTGTAGGAAGGGTTTAGGGTTTAGGGGTTTTCAGGGTTTTCAGGGTTCACTATCTCAACTCAGCATGGAAGCCTATCTATCGCTCGCTTCAAAGGATTTTTTTTTGTAGGGAACCGGTTCCGGTTCCACGTCCCTTTGTGGGCTTAGGGTTTAGGGCCGAGGTTTAGAAATCCTAGCCTTAGGCCCCCAAACAGAAGCATGTAGATTTCAGCTCCCCAACCAACCCTCGCAAACTAATAAGATACGTGTATTTTATCGTTACTCCAACCCATAATGTAAGGAGCCTATATGACTGTACTGTCATAAAGTCCCAAATTTATGCATTTGCTGAGGTTACTACAGCACCCCTTTATTGCAAACCCCTACGAACAAAAGCCTAAGCCTTGTCCCCACTTCCTAAATCCCTCAACCCCGAACCCTACAGTAACCCTGACCCGAGACCCCAAACCCTAAGCCCTCAGCCCTAAGCCCGGGCGGGCTTTGTCTACAACTTGAGCGCGTTAATGCTTCTTGGCTTCCTTTTTTTCATGTTAATAAGGAAGCTAAAGCCTCCATGAATGGAACCCCTCCAAACCCCTAAAACCCTAAACCCTTAACCCTTAAATCCTAAACCCTGAAGCCTTAACCCTAAACCACAAGGTCTCAGACGATGCTATGCGCCCACACTTGGCCGCGGCCAGGGAAAAGTCGCTGAAGCAGACCCTTGAGCACCTGGGCTTCATGTAAGGTTTAGGGCTTAGGGTCTAGGGTTTGAGGTCTAGGGTTTAGGGGTCCAGCGATAAGAGTTTAAGGTTTCCAGGGGTAGATTTGAGTTTTCTTAGCCATTTGTATTGCCCGTAGTCTCTACTGTATATACCGCCTATAAAGCAAAAACTCAAAGTTTATAGGACCCCACACCTACCCTAAATCTTAAACCCTAGCTTCTTGGAACTCCAAAATGTGTAGAATGCTGGGCTTCTTTGACTGCTTTTCAAAAGGTCTTGCGCGGTTTCTATACCCTAAACCCTAAGCCCTATAACCCTAAACCCTATAACCCTAAACACCGTAAACTCTAAACCCTAAAGCCTATAACCCTAAACCCTAAGCCCTATAACCCTAAACCCTAAACCCTATAGCCCTAAACCCTAAAACCCTAAACCCTAAACCCTATAACCCTAAACCCTATAACCCTATAGCCCT